AGTATTATAGTTATTGATTATATATCTTATAATGATAGACTACTGTTTAAGATTGGCACAATCAGATGCTTTATCAGCTAAAACTGAATAGTATTTACTATTATTGATTTCAGAAATAAGAATCTTCTTAAAAGCCTCTCTACAACACTCCATAAGTTGTTTTTGTGCGGTTTAAGAAATAATGTAACATTTTTAGAGACAGATATTAAATGATCTTATAAGATAGTGTCACCTGCATAAATTCCAAAATTAGGTAGTTCAAAAATATTTCCTTCAACTGTTTCTTGAGGACTCTTTTCGAGAGAGTTCTCAAGAAAGAGTTGAAGGAAATATTATATTATAAAATACAAATACAATACAATATTGGAGACTATAATACAAGAGACTCTTATATTATAGTCTCTAATACTGTATTATATTTGATTCTAATTAACAATAAAATCAACTTATAAGATCCTCTTTAATTAAAGCTTCAATTTGAAGATTAAATTTTTTTTTGAAGAAATAAAAATCTAATATTTTAATTATTTACATTTATAGCAAAAAATAAATAAAAATTGTTTATATAGCTCTGTGGCAAAACTATTATTTATATTAATAACCTGTTTAATAAAATAATAATGTTTTAGTTAAATGTTATAAAATTTTTAAAACAATTAGCACAGAAACAGTTGCATATAAGTAAACTAGTTACAGCTATAAAAAGCTACTTATTTTTATTACAAATATAGTCCGTGAAAACAAAGTTAAAAATATACCTTGAAGCTACAAAAGTTTTGTCAAAACCTTGATCCATTTTAAAATATGGCATAAAAACATTTATATCAAGCCAAAAGTTTAACTACGAAATTAAACTGGTGAGATATTCTAACCATTTCGTTTTGTAAACAATTTTTTTCGCAACATTTAATGTTATGAATGTGAATCAATAGCATTTGGAACAGTTTTTTTTCAAAACATATCCGCCATGATTACCAACTTACTAAGAAAATAATAACGGCGCTTTTTTATATAAATATAGCTTTTTTATATAAACATAGTATAAAAAGTCTGGGAAATAAGTACAGCCACAAGGCAAAAAGCAATCTAGCCACGGGCTGCGAGTGTTAACGGCATACGACTTTTCAATAAAAATACATTACGTTAAAAAAAACAATAATTTAGTCAGCTTATGCCGTAAAATCAGGTCGTTTGTGGCTCAGCCACAAACCGATATGCAATGACCGATCTTTTTTTTAATTCCGGTTTTTTTAGTTTTAAGTAATCGCTTTTTAAGCCGAATTTACACAGCAAATAAAAATAAACTTATCTTGATTATTTATATTATTTTTATTTTGAAAATATGTCGGAGCATTATACTGTTTGTTTTTTCGTTGATTATTTTAAGGTGTAGCCTTAGCCACAACGGCTATACCCTAGATCCGCGCCTGACAATGAAATTAATTTAAAAATCTGTTAAGATATTAAATATATTTTTAAATAAAGCGCACTTGCCTCTCTTTCAAAATTAGCGAATCAGATTGCTCATATTTCTGCCTATTCTGAGCCTGTATACGATTTCAAAATATGCGACCCGGTGCTATCTGCTTCTCAATCTAGAACTGAAGTACATCTTTCAATTGCATGTCAGTTGTCAGTGATGGGGATATCAATGCATACACATCTTTGAAAGTCTCATACTCCACGACTGCTTCTTAAGTATTAACGTCGTTTCAATAAATTTGACATGAATATTTAAATGAATTTTATATTTTCTTCAAATAATTTTGACGGATCAAGGAAATCAAAATAAAGTCGTGAAACCGTTTATTTATTTGGGTTATAATTATATCCAAAACAATGAAGCAAGTTTTACATTTTATGCGTGTTGTTGGATCATCAACTCTTTTATCTCTCCACAGCTCTCCTGTCATGCGTTTTTTTCTAGCTGGATGTTAGGCTAACTGAGAAAGACCAGTTTATTTTAAATTCAGTTTCTATATCTAGTTCGACACATTTTTCACTCATAAATGATTTGGCTGCTAAATGTACAATTTTAAAAGCTTCATCGTTTCTCAAATCTACAAACTTTTTTTTTGTAACATCAATCAACTGTTTTGCAAATAAAACATCTTTTCGTTGCAAATAAATAAATGACACAAAGGTTAATTAATAACTTTGGCAAAAATAACATAAGAAAAACAAATAAATGAGTTTTTTTTTTAAACTGATAGTCCAATAGCTTCTGCTCTAACATTTTCTGTATGTTCTTTATATTCTCCTAGATTAATATCTAGAGTGGTTAGAATAGCAGAAAAAGATTCAACATCAGCATCAACTGCATGCTTCTACTTGCTCATCTTGTATCACAAAGTCGTTTCAGAGTATCTACTATTAATTCGTAAAGACGTTTTAGGTGCTCTTGAACTCTTTAGAACATGACGTCGGGGTAAACGAGACGTAAAACATTTATACAATTTTTGAGCTGTGCCTAGAAACACCTGGACATTGCTGTTTACTGACATTGCTTCGATGGTCATCAAATTATAAACATGAGTACAACAATAAACATAGATAGAATTTGATGAAAGCGCTTTTATTCGAGTTTGAAGACCACTTTTAATTACAAACACTACATAAACACCGTCATATTCTTGTCCTCTGCAGAGTTTAATATCAATGTTTCTCCTTTCAGAGTTTAATATGTATGTTTCGAAAGAAAATGTTTTAAAACCTCTGTTTTAAAATAATTTCTCTCTTTCCATTTTTACTTATCTTTACTCTTTTCATATTGCTTTTCATTAGTAATTTGTATTTATAATTTTTTCTTGAATATTTTAGGCTGCGCCGTCTGATCGTTCTACGTAGCGTGGAGGAGGGGGGGCCGCTCGCCCCTCGACGCCCTAAACTAAATCCGCCACTGCTGAAAGGTTCGGAAATAGAGAATTAAACGTTAATCATCTGGATAACCATCTTGTTTCTTTAAGATGTTTCAGGCTTATGGTAAACATTTTCACACTCTGAAACGTATTACAAAAATAAAGTCTTTATGATCAATTCTACTCAATTAATATCTGTGGTAAAAATCTTTACAACTGCAAATACCTTGCACATTTTAGTTCTGAATGCCAAATGACTGTATAAGATCATTCTTAATATCAGGACTGATTTACAAAGTAGTGCGCTCTTTGATTGACTTGCTATGCTTTTATATATTGCAAAGAGTTTCGAGAGTTCAAAAAAAATAACCTTTATTACTATATATGCCGTAAAATTCTTAATACCCACGGAATGACAACTCTTGTTTATTTCAAAACGATATTTCATTTCTAATTGTTTTTCAGGATCATTCCGTTTTTTCTGCTTGTTTCTTCTTTGAGGCCAAAAGTTTTGCCAAAACCGTTTCCTCATTAAATATGCAAAACTTTGTTTAAAATAACTACCTCTAATAACTGCCATAAAGAATCTTCTTTATGGTTTAATGCAACTTAAGCAGCTTACTTGCAAATTAATTGAATTTCACCAGTGAAAGTATAAATTTCTTTGTCACTACCTCTTAGTATTGGGGGATTAGGGCTGTTGTAATTTACTATAGCAATTTGGTTGACAACAATCCACTAACTTACCAAGTTGGAAGTGATTTACTCCACAAAAAAATGTCGGAATAAAATATAAACATGTGATTTCATATGTTAAAATATTAAGCTTGAGTGTTAAAATGTTAAAATGGAGCTATTAAAATGTTAAACTGTGTTTTCAAATTCACAAAAAAATAATGTAATAAATTCACATTAAGTATATTCATTTTCCCGTTTATTCGATTTATACGCGTAATTAAAAAAAACAACAACAACTCAACGTCGCTAAATTTCAAAAGGTTAGGTTAAAAAACTCAACGTCGCTAAAGTTCAAATGGTAGGCAAGAAGGAGCTTTTGCTTCCTACTGTGAGGAATATATGGCTCCCTACCTTATGATATGCTACCCAACTGTATGATATATGCATTGCGGTGGTGCTTTTAAAGCAATCAGGGCCGGCGCTAGCATTTTTTGGTTTTTGAGATAGCTAACTTCCAAACATGGAGCAAACTCCAAACATATATATATTTATACTTATGTCAAATAAGGATGCTTTGCAAAAAATTGCGATAATTGGAGCTTGGAAACAACATAGCCCCAAAATTTTTGCCTAGTCTGCCCCAAACGTGAGAGCAACAAGTTGATAAAATATTTTTTGTACTATTTTTAACTAGACTAATATTCATCGATAAATTTTAAGTTTCATAGTAAAATACTTTAGCGTTCAAAAATTATGACTATATAATGTTTGAACCCCCCTCAATCTGAGGGGGTTGCAAATTTTATATTGTTATAATTTTTGAACACTAAGAAATTATACTATAAAACTTAAAATTTATCGATGAATATTAGTCTAGTTGAAAATAGTACAAAAAATATTTTATCAACTTGTTGCTCTCACGTTTGGGGCAGACTAGGCAAAAATTTTGGGGCTATGTTGTTTCCAAGCTCCAATTATCGCAATTTTTTGCAAAGCATCCTTATTTGACATAAGTATAAATATATATATGTTTGGAGTTTGCTCCATGTCTGGAAGTTAGCTATCTCAAAAACCAAAAAATACTAGCGCCGGCCCTGAAAGCAATTATTTCAAAAAAACTAATAGGGAATACATCTTTCTTAAGATAAACTGTTTAATGTTTAATAAATCACATTGTAAAATAAGAAACGCCTTTTTTTTTTTCCGAGTAATGCATTTATATCTTTAATTTTCAAATATCAATGCAGCTTAAAAAAAAGCAAGATGTCAGTTGTATAAAGATACAAATTAAAAATATTGTCTAAAATTAACTCCGAAAAAAACTATAATGCTCATAATTTTTTTATTATTATTATTAGTTTTAATGCTTGAATGTTTAACTTGAACAACTATTTTTTAATTTATTTAATTTGAATGTAGCAACCAAAAATACTTTGTAACTTTTATTTCTAGGTAACGGGATTCATTCCATATGTTATTGTATTCTCGCCCACTCGATAATCACGATAAAAAAAATAATGATTTCATTTAAAAATAGACAAGTCAAAAAAATGTAAAACAAAAAGTTTCTATTCTCTTAAAAAAAAAGTTAAATATTATGGTATTAAAGTTATGATATTATGTCTTAAAAAATTAGAGTTTTATTGAATTTATATTCTAAGTTGTTGTTAATGGCTTATAAAAAATAAAAAAGTTAACGTTTATGTTAGCGCAATATTTCATAAAGTTTTGCAACTTTTTATGATGACAAAAAGCAGTTCTTCGAACACATATTCGTTTTATACAAATATTGAATTGCCTTGTGTTAGAAGACTTTCACCAAGATTAGCTACTAAATCAATTACTTCTGACTATACTAATCAAAGTTTACATACTGAAAAAATAAAAATGGCTCGAAGAGACTCAAGCAAAATATTAGATAATCTGTTACATGAAAGTCATTTGACTGAATTAAAAAATTTAACTATAGATAAAGTTAATTTCATTCCCCATCCCCCTAATGAAGTTAAAAAAAGAAATTCGGTAGAAACTCAAACATTTAATAAAAGTGAATGCAATATAAACAATTTTATAGTAAATAATACATATCTTAATCCTACTGATAATCTACTTGACAATGATCCAGATTTTCAAGGAAAAAAGTTAATTGGAATGTATAAAGATTTTTTAAATCACAGATATGGTCAGAGACTTAATCATTCATCATCTTATTGTGAAAATAATAAAAGTTTATCATCTGAGGATGAATTTAGTATAAGTAGTTTGTGCTCATCAGATAAAGAAGAAAATGACAATCTATCGATTAGCACAGATTTGTCAAGAGAATTTAAACCACATGTCTTAAATAAACTTAAAGGTAATTTTGATTTTCACAAACAGTTGAACAATGTTTTACTAACTAACACTAATTTAAATTCTAAGTTTGGATCTGATGAAAAGTTGTATACAAATTCACTTCCTGATCTTCGAAAAATAGACAAAGTTGTTTTCAAAAAGACTAATTATGTTTGTAAAAACAAATCTGAATCTGTAAGTGAACCAGGAGCAAAGCGACTGTACAAATTTAATCCATTGCCACCAATACCAGTTTCAAATTTACCTAATACATCTGTGATGTATGAAACACTAGATCACCAAAAGGAAAAAAAAGAAAATATTTTTAAAGACAATCATAAATCTTTTAAACAAATTGTGCAAATGATAAGTTTGATTCCGAAATTAACAACTTGTTCAGTTAGAAATAGAAAAAGTGATCATCACTTATCAGAATTGACAAACTATTTACCTAATAAAAAGCTAACTGTTTTCGTTGGTACTTGGAACATGAAGGGAACTAAGGTAACATTTTTAATACAAGTAGTAATAATAATACAAATTTGAATTTTATTATATTTGATTACATAGGCCAATGAAATTTTACTTTTTTATTTTGCACACAGTATGTTTTTCTTATAGTATTCGTCATTCTGATTTCAAATATGCAATCCTTTTTCTTTTACAATATCTTGTTTTTATCTCTAATACATTTTCATCTAAATGTATCAGAGATGAAAAAAATTTATTCAATAAAAATCTCTAGTGTTAAGTTTTTATAAGCAACTTGGGTATAGACTATTGCTTTTTTTTAACGTAAAGTGAAAACAAAGTGTTGTGTTCATTATTATTTTAGTTTTTACCAGATTCCCTGGACAGTTTTTTATTACCACCAGAAAGTGAATACTTACAAGATATTTATGTCATAGGTTCACAAGAGGGAACTCCATTCAGGTTAGATTAGGTTTTTTTTTTTTTAATAAATCAATTTTTTAAAAATATAACCATTATAACAATAATAATAACAAATAGCATCATTTGCACTATTTAATATAATTTACTTGATAATGTCAACTTAGCTGAACGACGCTACTTAATAGTAATAGTTTAAACATCAAGGTATCATGTGATGCAAATTTTGAAATCTTTTAGTTTTGTCAGCAGAAAAAAAATTTAATTTGAATTTTCAAATTAAGTGAAATTTTGACCTCATGGTGGGCCAGAAAAAAAACCTGTAGCCTAAGAACCACTCTTTATAATTTGATAAAAATTAGTGTAAATGTAGTTTATGGCTACATCAAATTCTGAATAAAATTTCAGATAGACTATTTTACTGGTTAAAGATTTTTAGTTTTAATTTTACTACTTTTTTGCTACTAATACCTCAAAGTGTTTTGGATTACTGTGACATTTGGTCACTATTTTTAAAATTAGGGTTATATGAGTGTTCTACTATGTAGTGCCGACAGTTTTTATTAAAATTTCTCATTGCTACATGTGCCATTTACATTCTACAGAACAAAATATTTCTTTGGTGTGAAAATCTCATCATTTCTTAAACTATAAACTACTGTCAATAAGCATTTGTATGCTCAAAGTTCATATTTTTTCTAATTTAATTTTTAAATCTAATAAGCACCTTCTTTAAAATTAATTTCTGTATCTTTTTCTGTGATTTTTACCGTCT